TATCAGCAAAAATGTGCGCATCAGAACCGCAGCACGCAGGACTTCCTTGTTTTCTTCTGGATCTGTGGCTCAGTCCCGCCCCCGTCCTTTTTTGTCCAGTGAGAGCAAAGATCGTCACACTCATGGCTTTGTTTACAAGTTATAGTTCATTTGTAAAAAAAAAACAAAACAAAACACAATGTGAATGCAAACCGCACCAAACGAAAAAGAAAAAGTCCACTTTTGGTCCGGACCAAACAAGCGGACCAAAGGACTTTCCTGGTCAGAATACACCCTTGGTGTATAGTTTGTGGCAGAACAATACCCCAGAGATTATTAATGTAGTGTTACAACCTGGCTCAGCCAGGGAAAGGGAAGATGACATTAAAAACCAGATGTTAGTTGGTTTTAAAATGAACAGTGGTTTATTTGTTAGTGTAAAACTAAAGAACACAATGTAACAAAAAGAGGGAACTTTTCAAAAGTGCAAGTTTCCACAATATTGGCATTTTGATTTATAACTTCAAAAGAAATATAACAAGTGTGGTTTTAACTTGTAACAAAATAGAACAACAACAATGTAACACTTGTCAAGCAGCTAGACCTGGCAGAATTAAACTGGGCCAAGGCCAAMCATTACTCAGGCACAACAAAGTGACAAGCTGCTRAGGACAGCTGCCCCGATTCACACAACAGCTGGCCTTAAATAGGRAGAAGTCATCACTGATTGGACGAGGTGGAGCTGAATGGTCCAACCCCGGTTGAAGAGGAGCCAGGAGAGGTCAGCCAATCCCAGAGTCTCAGCCTGCAATCACACAGAATGACCCTCAGGCCATAACACTAGAGAACAACTGTACGTGTTGTCAGCATGATGGGCTGGATGTGTGAAGACCACTTCCTGTCTGAGTCACAGCAGAAACAGAAGCAGTGAGCTGAGCGAGACACACACACCTGTAAACTCTTCAACATTCAGCTCCATCAGTGGCAGTGAGGCCTGAGTTGATCTAAGGTTTATTGCTGTGTGTCCAGAATCAGRTATTCCTTTAGACAAAATGAAAAAGCTTTGTCTGGTTTTGGAGATTCTTTGTTTTAAGAATGTTTCTCATTCTATAAAAAAAAGTCCAGCTAAATACTTTTAAAAACCTTGCAAAAACATTTAATATTCTKCTGAACCACATCAATGTTACATTTGTGAAAGTAAAATAACCAATTAAATATTTTATTCCGTTCATTATCTTTCATTTGTTAAATAATTTTTCAGTCACTTTGTAATGAAACACTTTTTAGGTTAATTAATATGTAGGGTATGAAAATGTGGAATTAAAAAAAAAGAAAAATGTGGAATTTAGAAAACTAGAAAGGAAATTTGGTAAAAAACAAAACAATTTAAAGTGCCTTACAAATTATCAGCAGGCAAACCTCCCATTCACGTCAATAAAAGACACGATTTTGTTGGTTCTGATGGTAAAACATGTTACTGAGTTAAGTTTTTACACTGTGTTTATGGTCATCCCAGCAGTTAGTGAACCCACTTGTTGTTGTGTGTAAGTCCTTACAGAACAGCCACACATTCTCGTCTCGTTAGCTCTGATGGAACAGGCCTTTCTGCTGTTTCTTTAGCTCAACACAACAGCACACGACTACCAGGTGCTACGACAAAAAACAGCAGTTGCTGCTTAAAGGGATCCCCGATTTGTTGTAACATTAGACTTTATTTAATAATCATATATTTTAACTATAAAATAA